GGGAGAGGTCTACAGGGTGTTCAGGGTCTCACTACCAGATCTGACTTATAGTGATCTGCCTGTTTACAGCCTCCCAAGTGCTAGGATTGCAGGCACATGCCACCACACCCAGTCTCAACTACCATCTCAGTGCACCCTGGCAGCAGGGCCGGCATGGAACCCCAGGCTCCTGCGCTTGCTTACAGGTGCTTTAATCCACTGAGCTATTTGGCTGGCCCCCATCCCTTTGTTTTAAACAATTTGGAGGAAGACTGACTGAATACTTCAAGTCAATGTTCACAGGACCAAACAAAATATTTATATTTGAGTTAAATACAAAAAAGATTTAGGGAGAATTAAAGAAATTTGGAGGAGGGAAACAGACTAGTGCTTCTACTCAAAGGTGGGTCAGAGACAGGGTACAGTGAAATAGAGGGACTGCTTTCATGAGAGTCTCCCAGGTTTAGTAGCTTTCTGTACCTCCATGCTAAGTTCTAAGGAGCCCCTTCTGAGCTTACTCTTCCCTCACATTCCTGACTCCATAGCTCCCAAAGGACCATGGAAGGACTGATGGGAAAATGACTCCACCAGGGGATAACTTCCCACAGACTGCAAATTAGACACAGGTGTGTTCACATGTTCTAGAATGGAAATCCTGGAGATACAATATTGTGGGACTGCTTTAAAGCTCAGGGTGTCTAAGGACACCTGACGATGTGACCCCGCTTGTGTAGTGCAGGCACACAATAAGATTCAGCTATGACTTAGCATGGGTAAACATATATGCTCTGGCTAAGGCACTATATAAGAATGTAAATATGTGATAACAACCTGTATAAGAATTGTACAATAAAGGCACAAGTGGTTCTTGCTCTTTGCTCTTGCACTCTTACACTCTTGTACTTTGCTCTGTTCCATGCTGCCTGATGTTGCTGTTGATGTGGTGCACACATGTGCTTTTTTAACTTTGGGGCCTCACCCATGAAAATCTTCCTTGGGGCCCCAAGCAGGCTGACAACTGGCATAGTTGATGGGACATTGAGGTGAGTAGTCCCGTGGAAGCTGTGAAAACAGCACCCAAAGTTGAGGGACAGATCCAGGGGGAAGGGCAGATAAGCAACCCCAGATTCACCATGGCTACCTGTAGCCACCTTCTTAGCAGCTTGGAAGGTTCCAGAAGACTGTGAAACAGTCTGTTTGGAACCTGGGGATGTCTTGCAAGCCTTAGAAGTGATAGGTAGAAAATTCCTCTACCTTACAGTGAAATGGCAGGGTAGGTAGCTTGGCTTTTCTTCACTCTCTTCTGTTGTGTAATTCAAGAGGTGGATGGCCTTGTCCAGCAAGTAGACCCAGCTGCAGCAGATAGAGAAGGACCTTCAGCAACAGCTGGCTGCTGCAGAGCTCAGGTTGTGAGGTATGGGCAGCACTGCTTCCTCTGGAAATGTCTCCAGATGCACCAAGTCCTTGTGTCCTAGAAAATCCTCAGGGAAGTCCCCTGGTTTTGCATGCTAGGATAGCTATTCATCAAAAAGTAGAAGTAGAGGAACCGCTAGCCCAGGGAGGAGGACAGGGAGCGCTGCCTACCTCTACTCAGAAAACAACATACATGACCTATACAGCTATGGAACTGCAGAAGCTGACAAGACAAAGTAGAAAGTGAATGAAACAGTACCCATATAGCTGCTACAGTGGTGGGATGATGGAGCCGATAGTAATCAGTTAAGCCCACAGGAGATATTGCAGATGACAAGCATAGCCAGCACTCCTCTATGAGATGGGTTCTGCAGGATATGCAGAGGACAGCCCCAGAAGCAGGCAATGAGACTGTGATAAATTGGTGGATGTGAAATGAAGCACCAAGGTAAGATGAGATATACAAAAACTGTACAAGCAAAGTAGAAAAAGAAGGAGGCTCCAAGAAGGTAGGTCCATCCCCCCAAGGACAGGCTATGGGGCCTCTGAAGGTTGGCCAGCACCAGATCTGGGTAGACCTGCTGGCTGCCAGCCAATGGGAAGAGTTGCAGATAGCATGAATGCTTGTGATGCATAAAGGAGATGACCTACATGTGTACATTATGATCAGGCTGCATTTAGGAGGTTGATGCTCTGTTTGCTGGCTTAAGCAGTTCAGGAGCAACAGACAGGGTACTTTCCTTTGCAGGGAGCTGACCTAGGTGAGATGTATGGGAGCGTGCCCAAAGGCCGACCATATAGACCATCAGGATTCAGGACATAAGCCCCTCCTCTCACTGGGAAATGACTTAACAGATGATCAGGCATTGCAATGATTGACCACTAGGAATAGCATCTGACTGAAAATATTGACTGCTGCCTATGGGATGCTGCTAGGCATAATGTCTGGCCAGGGACAAAGGCCATAAACTTAGCCCTCTGAGTTGAAACCTTTGCTCAATATATGACCCAGGCCTTGAATATTATATGTCAGGCTTTGATGTTGCTTATGGATGAAACTGTTCAAATGAAAAAAAAAAGGGGGGGGATTTTGCAAAGTTATGTGGTTCTTGACTTGCTAACTACAGCACAAAGATGTACATGTGCCCTGTTATTAAAAACGGCTACATATATATACCCCAGACCTTTGAGGGGATGGGATGTTGGGAACCACTAAGACTGCTGCAAAGCTCAAGGTGTCCAAGGACACCTGAGGACATGACCCTGCTTGTCTAGCACAGGTGCACAGTGGGATGCAGTTATGTAAACATGACTTAGCATAGGTAAACATGCATGTGCTAGTTACAGCACTATATAAGAATGTAAACATGAGATAACAACCTGTATAAGAATTATACAATAGAGACATAGCTGGCTCTTGCACTCTTATGCTCTGCTCGGCTCCATGCTGCCTGCTATTGCAGATGTGTCACACACAGGTGTTCTTTAATCTTGGGACCTCACCTGTGAAAACCTTCCTTGCCCCCACCCTGAGCAGGTTAACAAATATTCTAAATATAACCCCAAACCCATAATCTTTCTTGATAATAATTAGATAACTCTATACACAAACGATGTGGCAGGTTTTCTTGTCTTTCCTTACTAGCTGTAACTCTTTAACCTTTGGCCAATGGCATGTGGGTTGTGGGATGTAGTGTGGAAAAAAAGTACAACTGACATTTTGTCAACCATGCAGTGGTGTTCCAAAGTAAATCAGGACATATATATCAGGCAAACTCACTTCTTTGGCTCTGAATTTTGTTAGGCAATGTCAATACTTCGTTTGTTGTAAGGTAGTTCCAGCTGGCGTGCTCTGTCTATACAAGTATGGGATGTCAGGAACCAAAAGGAGCAGTGGGAACCAAGAGGTAAGCACAGGAGAGTGGGATTAAAAACCTTCATTTCTAACAGACTCAACAAGTCAGAGAGAAAGAGAGAGAGAGAGAAAGAGAGAGAGAGAGAGAGAGAGAGAGAGAGAGAGAGAGAGAGAGAGAGATTCATCTTCTCCCTGAGAGCCTCTTGTAGAGCCATGGGGAGTTAAATAAAACTAGTAGGTGCTTTCAAAACATCTCTCCAATATGAAATTCTAGGGCAATGCTGAAGAATACTCAAATTACATACCCTAACTGCACTCTGAAGGGAGTGAATCTGCAGCCTTTTAAGGTTTGTGGAAAGTGGTAGCTTTAACATGGCAATTGATGCCTCTCCCCAGATGAATGCTTTTTTCTAATAATAAATCTTCCCTTTTGAATATTTAGAAAATGTCACAAAATTTATAAATCAGTATCACCCATGACCCCAATGCCCTGAGGTAGCATCACATAAATCAATGATCGTTCATATTTTTGACAGCACATGTATTTAGGATTTTAGCCAACTTGAGACTGTTTCTTGTAACTGGCTTTGTTCTGCCATGCAATTTCAATTACACAGACATTCCGGGTGGGGTGACTGATTCCTGCACAGATCAACCTCCTGGAATGTATTTTCAAATGTTACTTTAATGATGCCCACGAAAAGCAAGAGGCACTGCAGTGGCCACAGACTCAGCATCGCACAGGTCCTGCCTGTAACGGAGAATTTCCTTCTGTGGACATACAGGCCTGGACTACAGCAGAGAGCATACGGTTTCTCTGGGCAAAGCCCTCCATCTCTGGGAATTCCTTCTATTTCTACCTAATGTATTTTCTCAACAAAGCTGTTTTTTGATTCTTGTTTTACAAGTTATAAAGGCATGGTTAAAAAAAAAATGTACCGGGATTGTCTAGATCCATTAAATAAGCCAATGCCATGTATCTCTGTAGGGACTCGACTCTAGTCATTGTGCTGAATTCTCTTTGCACTACACATGAAAATATTCCTTTTATAAATAATAGATTATCTCCCTGATTTTAATTTGTGTGAATACTTAAAATGATTTTTTTTTTGCAAAGCTTGGAGTGGGGAACATGGATGTATGGGAAATCAACTTTATTTTTTATTTATTTATTTTTATTATTATGTAAGACCTTTATTAACAGGTGCTTGCAGTTTGCTGGCTTTTTTGAAAAAATCAAGTTGTAAATTTTTATTACAAATTAAAAATGAAGTTCTTAAAAATCTCAACTTGATCAGATATGAAACAATTTAAAAACCTTTAAAGGTGTATTGAGAAAAACCAGGCCCCCCCCAAAATAAAGCACGTTTGTCATTACCAAAAAGAGACATCTTTAGGTAAAAATAATAAAAACCCCATGCTGCATAGATAATGCAGATAGTTCTAGTTATCTGGTCAACAGGCAAAAAGCAAGCACTTCAGTTCCAATCTTTTGTTCATTTCTTATTGCTGGAATTTCTTACTCGTTTCTTTCTTGCTGGTTGACTAAACCGGATGATGGTAGAGATGTCAAGCAGGTGTTTACTCAGCCCTGCCCTGCTCAGCCTCGGGAGCGGACAAATTCTCAGCTGGTGGATCGGCTGCTTTTGTCTCTTTGCCATCTTGTGGTTTAGGGTTTTCTGGGCATCTGCGTCGGTAATTGAAGTTGCGAAGGTACAGAGGTTGAGGTGGCTGCTGACCTTGGGTCTCATCTCCTTGATTTTCCTTATCTTCTTCATTGCCGTCCTCTCTAGGCTGTCTTTGGCGAGGAGGGCCCCTGCGGAATCGTGGTCTATAACCTCGATCCATATTCTGTCTCACTTGTCTACCTTGTTCTCCTGCACCTGGCTGTCAGCACCTCCATCACTTCTCCTTGCACAGGAGAGTTGGGGTACTGTGGCCGACGCCCATCGGGTCTCCGCATGTAGTAAGGTGGGAACCTTCACCTGCGGTAGGGCCGGCGTGGCTGGGCCTGGCCTTCGGGAGCGCTCTCCGATCCCTCATTCTTCTCCCCACTCTCACTATTCCGGTAATTCTGCGGGTAACTGCGCGGAGGACCCCTACGACGTGGATGACATCTATGATGGTTATGGTCTGCTGCGTATTTGCTGCCTTGAACTGGAGATCCACCAGGTCCTGCAACATTTACTGCATCTGCGCCCTTTTCTCCTTCAGCAACATCAAACTCCACAGTCTCCACCTCCTACACGCGAAGGTCCTTCCTGGGGTTATTCTTTAAGGCAGTCTGCTGTACAAATACATCTTCCTCGGTGTCATTCCTGTTGGTGAAGCCATATTCATTTCTTACATTGAACCATTTTACTGTTCCCAAAACCTTTGCTTCAATGATCTTCTTGTCCCCGCTGGCAGGTGCAACTGATGGAGGCCACCCGGGCCGCCGCTCCCTGCGCTGCTGCTGCCGCGGTGCTGGGCTTGGTGTCAGCAGCGCTGAGGGTGGGGTGGGGGGAGCGGGGTGCGGCTGCTGGGTCTCAGCCTCGCTGCTCATAGTCACGGTGATGGAGACTGGCGCCGGCTGCGGCAGCTGTAGCTTCTCCCCGGGTGTGATGGTAACTAAGCAGGACGGCAGTAGTGGGCTGTCAGGGCTGCTCAGGGGTCCGCTGTCCGGGAAATCAAATTTATTTGTAAAGTCCTATTTCCTAAATTGGACACATGTGTTTAAATATCACATCATTTCTCTGGTTGAAAAATTGAAGGACCAAAATGTGTAAAAGATAATGAGAAACAGGAAGAAAACACTGAATAGGAACAGGAACAAGGGAGTGGGAAGGGGAAAGGAAGGAAGGGAAAAGGGAAGAAAGGAAAGAAAAGAAAAAACTGAAAGAAAGCTTTTGACAATAAGGAGGGGAAGAGGGGTTGAAGAGAGGGTAGAAAGGAAGAATTAAGTTACACTGTGTACAGGTACAAATGCTCTATGGTGAATATGACCATTATGTATATATAGAAGGTACTACTGAAATTATTTTTTAAAGTCTTTTTCTTGCAAAAATATTTTTCCTGTCTTTCTCTTTCTTTTCTCTCTTTTTTTTTTTTTACTAGTATACTTTTGCTATACCTAGTGCATATATTCACCATGGAGAAGTCATATTGATTGACTGAGAGACAGACAGACAGACAGATGACAGATAGAATCTCTGTGACATATCTAAGCGAACCCCATTACTATATGATTCCTTTAAAACTGGATTCTCTGAGAAGAAAATAAGGCCAACTTTGCAGACCTTTTCTAGAGCTTAAAGAACTATTATATTAAAATTGTTGCAACTGCTCTTTGCCCAGAGAATCCCCTGTGCAGATGAGTTTCGTTCACGATTCTTATTAGTCTACCTTGGGAGTCTACTCTGCTATGAATGAGAAAAACATGGAAGCTCTGATGGGAGTACTTTCAACACTTTAAATTTTTAATGGTCAATCTGAATGAAAGTCCTCGCACCATCAGACTTCAGCTTTGCCTGGACGGCACCAGTGTTAGAGTAGTTAGACTTTGTGATGCTTCTACCAAGCCTTCCATAATAAGCACCAGCAGCAGGAGGACACTGGGTCTGAACAATCTGTGATGACTACATCCAACAATGGAGTGTACAGAAAAGTTGATGAGTATCCCTTGCTTTGTATCTCGCTACAGTGTGGATTTCATTTTATTATTTCATCATTAAAACTAACAGAAAAGATATAAAAGGAAAAAATAAAACAAAACTAGACTTTTCCCCAACTGGAAAAGTTTCCACTTGTGCTACATAAGCCACCAAAGTGCTCCGCTATAGTTTTCCTACTGAGCAATCTAGTCAGAGTGGTGCGCTGGTACAGTAATCTCCGAATGGGTAAAGAGCTCCAAACTGTAGCATTTGCCAATTTTGATTTTGTAAATACTACCCCCATCCCCCGCAAGATTTCAATAGCTTTTCAGGTTATCAGCATGATGTCAGTAACACAGAGTTGGAATAAGGTGCATGTAGTCAGCTTCTATATGAGCCCAACACAGCCAACATGTGCTGCGGTGGAACTCCTTTGAGGAATACACTGCACTCATTTTTCACAGTGAAATGCAGGTATAGACCCTACAAAGTCAGACAGTACAGAGTTCAGATACTTCATAAACAATCTTTGGCTAATTGTGCATAAGTTCTGGGATTGTTCCAGGCCCAGGATGAAGCTTCAGGTACCTTAAGAATAATGCATTTCAGAGGGCCAGCCAGACAGCTCATCAGATTAAAGCGACTGTTTAGGCAGACGCAGGCAGGGGCCAGGGGCTTGATCACTGGCCTGCCATGTTGGCCCTGCCCCCAGGGGCTTGCTGAGACATTGGTTGAAACTGGGCATGGTGGCGCATGCCTGTAATCCCAGCACTTGGAAGGCTGAAAAACAGGAAAGATCACAATGAGTCCGATCTGTGTAGTGAGACCCTGTGGACCCTGAACTAAATACATAAAAAAAAGGATAATGAATTTCATAAGGCATTCTAGGGAGCCTTGGAACTCAAACTGACCCTAGGACCCATAGTATCAGCCACACCTGACAGGTGTCAAAAATGTAGAATCTCAGATCTTTCCCAGGCTCACCCAACTGAAATCTGCTTTTAAATAAGATTCCAAGCTGAAGAAGCTCAAGGTAGTAAATCCCAACCAATCTCAAGCTAAGATCCAGGAACAGCCCTGGATATTCTATAATTAGCCTTAGTAGAGATTAAACAGAATCTGATACTGATCTAAAATTGCACATGAAAATGTACCTCTTGAGATTTAAAAAAGTGTAAACAATCTGGTTAGGACAGATGAGTATTATGATTCCAAAATTGCTAAGGGAAAAAGTTTTTATTTGAGTTGGGGGATGTTTTTTTCCAGTAAGAGCCAAAGACTCAGAGGAAATAAAGTGTTTATCTGAGAACTACTTTGTCTGATTTTATCCACTTGCTTTTATTTTAAAATTAATTAATTAATTAATTAGTTAATTGATTTATTATAGGGTCTTGGTATGCAGTTCAGACTCATAGTGATCCTCCTGTCTCAGCCTCCCCAGTGCTAGGATTAAGGCATGTGCCACCATGCCCAGTTTTGGTGGCAGGCACTATGTGCCCAGGGTTTGGAGGGCTGGTCCAGCATGCAGTGCCAGGGATCGAACTCAAGTCCTTGCACTTGCCAAGCAAGTTCTTAGACCACTGAGTTAGCTCCTCAGCCCTCTACTTGCTTTAGATAATAAACTATATTTGAAACACTCTATTGGTTTATTTGAATAAAAAGGAATGAAATGCCTTTGCTATGTGTAGTTTGTTCCATCTAGCTGCTGAATCATATTCCATCACATGCACATGCTGTATCATCATGTTCTGCTTCTCTTTTAAAGAACAGAGAGAGTATTTTCTGTTCTTTCCTACTTCCAACAATGTTCCCGTGGATGTCTGCCTGCATTTCCTCTCTTGGATCAAACAGACTTAGTCTGGGTGAAATACCAGGAGAGAGATCCCAGGGTTATGGATTATGGCTATATACTTTTATTGAATACTTTCAGATGGTCCTTCAGAATGGCTCCACCAGCATATAATCCCATCAGAGGATTCCATTTCCACACTGTTTCTATTATCTGACTTGAATTTTTGCCAATCTGATAGATATAAAATGCTATCTCATGCATCTTTCCATTTACATGTTTTCTGACGTGAGGTTAGCATCTCCTCATATTATCCACTAAGATTTCCCCTTCGGGAAGTACCTACACATGTCCGTTGATATTTTTCCACTGGATTCTGTTCTTTCTTGTGTTCATTTACAGCCATTTTCTTATTCACTCATTCATTTAATAAGTTTTCATTGTGTACATCCCATATATGAGGTATCATTCTAGATGCTAATTCAGCAAAATGAATGAAAAAAATAAAAAGCCCTGATCTCACAGGGCTTTTTTCTTATTAGAAGAAAAACATGATCAAATAATGATATGCATTCATGTTGGGTTTTGGTAAATGCTATAAATAAAAATAAAGTTAAAGGGATAGAAAACACAAAGGGAGTGCTATTTTAGGTAAAGTCTTAGAAGTCCTCTGTGAAGTGGTAATATTTGATTAGAGACCTGAATAACATATAACTTGAGTGTACTATAGATTAATCTTTTATCCTTTCTAATTGCTGTAAATATCTCTTCCCAGAAGGTTGGTCATCTGTCAACTTTATAAATAATTTCCTTTGTTGTTCAGAAATCTTCAATATTGATGCAGATCCACTAATGTTTTTATGATTTGTGCACTTCGAGTCTCCTTTCATAAATCATTATACAAGGTCACAAGGATGTTCTCCCCTTTTCCCCCATTAATTTTATATTTTATTTTAAATTTAGTTTTATTCCAATCAATGTGGAATATCAATTTTTTCACATGAAAGCCATTTTGTCTCAGCATAAACTTACTGGTCAAGTTTTCCTTCTACATTGATTGGGGATGAAACCTCATAATACACCAAGTCATCAAGAATTCATGAGTCTTCCAGTGGGCATTTTTGTTGTTATTGTTACTCACTGGTTGATCTAACAAGCTCCACACTTTTCTCTTGTACTATGGCCTTGTAATATAGACTCTGATTTGAATAATAGATAAATTATTTCTGAAAAATTATGTTGTCTATGGGAAAAACTATGACTTGCTCATCATCGTGTTGCCCAGAGAAGTAACTGTACCATTGTTATGTTTAGATACAAATATGGCCCCATAATATGTACTCAGAAGTAGGGCTTTGGGAAAGTAATCGGATTATGGGTGTGCTATCACAGATTTGCTGTTAGGTGGGGCTTCCTTGGAGGTGGTTCAGTGAGGGAATCATCTAGAAGGATGTACTCTTTTAATGAGTCCCTACAGTCTTTCTCTGTTTCCTGGCTGCCAGGGGTTGAGCACCTGCTCCTTTGCCACATCCTCTATCATTGTTCTGCCTTGGAGCCAGCCAACTATGGATTGAAACTTTGACTCAGAATAAACCTCTTCTTCACATGGTGGGTATTGCATATTCTGTCTCAGTGACCAGGCACTGATTGAGACAACTGTCCTATAGCCGTGGGTTGTTCCAAAATGCTTTTAAAATACATCAACGTTCTTCAAATATACCTAATCACTTGACTGCAAGCATCATAAATAGGTCTCATTTGTAATAATTAATTTGAATACTTCAAAAATAGAGGCTTGCTTCTGTTGATGGTAGGCTGGCCAACACGGCACATCTCTCCTGCTGAGGAACATTGCAAGCACAGGGAAACTAGGAAGACAATGAAAAATTATGGGGCAATAATACAGAAAAAACAAAGACCAGAGAGATAAGCCTAGCACAGAGTCTTATTTTCCCATAGTAGCATTGGCAATTAAAGGAAGTCATTTGAAAGATTGAACGATTAAACAGAGGCTGCTAACTTCATCAAAGGAATAAAAATAGGAATCCAGGATCCACCACAAAGGGTAAATGCTCAAGGTTTTGATTGGAACCCCTACGAGGTATACTTAGGGAATAAAGGTGGTTTAAAACAATCTGACCATCTCTTGGGCTGAATGCTAATTTCTACCTTGATATTAAAATTAAAGTGGTCTGGGATAAACATTCCCTTGCTGTTCACCAAAAATAAATGTAAATCCTTCTATGCTTCAAATCATCCTATATTTTTACATAATAATGAGTAAATTTTTACAGACATTTAAATTGACAAGACCATTCAGTTTAACACCAAGAACAGCAACAGACATTACAAGCAGAGCCATGTGGCACTGAACACTATATTTTATAAAAGCAAAGTGTAAAGTATAGGACTATAAAAACATAATCATAAAAATAAAAATTCTTTGCATTTAGATAAGATAAAAGAATTCATAAGCTGAAAGAAGAACATAAATAAAATGAAACACGGAACAAAAAACAGAAAGTACAAATAAATGGTGCAACAGACATGTAAGTTCAGTGGAAAAGGCTTAACATACGTGTAATGGAAGTACTATGAGAAGAGAATGAGCAATATTTGAAGAGATCATGGCTGAAATTTTTACAAAAAAAAAAAAAAAAAAAAAAAAAAACACCCTTTAAAAGACTCTAAAAAGATCAAAAAAAAAACAGCAAAACAAAAACACAAAACACATAACAAAAAAAATAAGAAAAACAAAAAAAAAAAAAACCAAAAAAAACAGCCACCAAAGGATCTCCAAAGAAGCAATCATCAGATTAATATCAGGATTATCTTCAGCCATAAAGAAAGTCAAAAGACAATAGAATGATATGTTTGAAGAAAATATCTGCACAAGATTCAGAAACAAATCTTTCTCTATATATATATTGTATATATTCAACATATATATTGAATTCAATATATGTATAGTAACTTATTCTGTGAATGGTCTACATGACAAGTGAACATTCCAATACATTTTAATTTAATAAGCAAGTGATGTCTTGCAATACAAGTAGTATGTGACAACAAACGTCATATGATCACCACTAAGACGATCTCTCCGCCCTCTCTGCATCTCCTTACCTCTTCCTCTCCCTCCTGCCTCCTTGCTGCAGGAATGTGGGTGACTGTCTCCCAACAAGAGGTAATGGAGGAGATCTTATCTGTAGAGGAAGAGGAGTAAAAAGCAGAGAAACCGCTCACTTCAAATGACATTAGGGAGGTTTGTAAAATGTGGGAAACGATGCAAGATTTTGTAAGAAATCACCGCCTGCATAAGGCTGCAGCAGACCTAGTGATGAATCTCTTCGACGACAATGCACTGTCTCATTTCCACAAAATACCCAGAAGGAGGAAAACGCAAGTGAGACTGGGTTGGTCCCTTGTTAAAAGTGCATGGGGGTTAAGGTTCCATGGAGCCAATGGCAGAGATTTGGTCAGTGATGGTGAAAGCTGTCCTACACAGTAACCCTCCTCCCTTACAGCAGCCATGAAGGTTTTCAAAGCCAAGCGCAGGTTAACTTGTTCAGTTTTCTGTACACTTTGTATTCTTTTATCTTTCGGTGTTATATAACAGTATTCCAATCATTTCATATTAGTATTTGGGGGTTGTAGAATAACTAATCTGAGGTTTCAATATTTCTTATGAGGAAATTCACTTTGATATGCAAGTGCTCTGGAGTACAAGCATGTTTCCAGAACAAATTAAGCTCTCAAACCAAGGTTTTATATGAAATGTATATGAAATGTATATGAAATATGAATATATGGAAAAAACAGATTTTGTTATCAATATACACATATTATAGGACATATCAATGATAACAAAATTAAAATAATATTAATTTGAAAACTAAAGATATGGGAAAGGAGCAAACCTAACCCAGATTAAATATAGAAAAATTTAAATGCATGCTGACTATATAATATAGTAGTAGGAATTTCTGATGTAATTTAAATTAGATATAGATTTAAATACATGAAAACAATAGCATATATGTGAGAACGGAAAGATTTAAAGTGCCCTGTGGTTTTCTTATTAGCCAGAGAGGCAAAATTATTCATTTCTACTAAGACATGGAAGTCTGTGTACACGTTTTCCTCGAGTGCAATCACTAAAACAAGTGAACCAAAAAAAAGCAAAGAAATGTAGAACTGTGCACATGTATAATCTGTGGCAGATTATGCTTTTCAAAGAGGACTATGGCAATATCTATTTTTCCACACACTTTTTGGCAACATAACCTTGCTTGTCTCTTGACAAGAGATAGAATCTATTTCTCCACCACCTTGAGTCTGGGTGGCCATGCATCTGCTTTGGCTAGTGGAGTATGACAGAAGTATCAAACCCAGGACAGTTTAACAGATTCTACTTTTGCCTCACAGAAATTAATTATAGTTCATGTAAGAAATATTGCAGCGGCAAACAGAAACACCAAAATATTCCCCCAGCATTTGGAGGCCAATTTATTTAATGGTCATCTTTAAATAAATATGAGACCCTGAACAGTGGTGGGCTTGCATTATTATAGGGTCTGGAAATAGAAATTATAGAAGCAGAGCACTTGGTTGTCTTTGATTGGTTCTTACAATATACGGCATAGTGACCAGCCATTTCTGCGAAACAGAAGTAACAGGAACTAAAGTGAACTGGAGGTTGCCTGTGCAAGTAACAGAAACTGAAATAGACTGGAAGAAGGAGGGTGCATTTTCTGCGACAGCATGACTTTCTCCAACAACTACAGTGAGAAGCATAAGCCAAATGGAGAGATTATTCAGGATGAGATAACATATGGAGGAGGGTGAGGGCAGGAGGCAGGAAGAGGGAGGACAGAAGAAAAGAGAGATAGCACTTCTGGGAAGATGGAAGAACAGTAAACAGCAACAAACTGGCCTTTCCAGGAATTGAAATATAGGCATTGGAAAATAACAACTTGGGGATAAAGAGAAAGATGGAGATAGATCTCTAGGACCTAGGAAAGATATGGAAGAAAAATTGAAGCCTACAGAGAAACTAAAGAGACAGACCACACACAGAAAAAAATAAGGGGCAATCTGTACTTTCTCCCCAGCTCCTGGCTTACAGTGTGAGAAAGGAAGATCAAATCTACAGAGACACAAAGCAAGAAACTCCACAGGTCATTGGGGAGACACACACCAGTGAAACAGAGCTAGTGAATTACTCGTCCAAGCATATTGTTTGGAGAGAGTGCCTGGTCAGATGCCCTTTTAGGGAGGGGCTGACTGAACCTAAGACTCAGAGCAGCACTGAGCTGGCTTCATCTCAGAGCTCCCAGTGTTAGACTCCCACAGGGACTGGGTGAGGGACAACCACATGGGATGTGTATGGTCAAGGAGCTATAGTTAAGCATACAAGAGACATCTGAGTGTTATAAGCTGAATGACTCAGGACCCACCCCATAAGCAGAGGGAGGTTCAACCTGAATTTCTGTGAAATCAAAAGCCCCAGGACCACCATTCCATCAGAATTGCACAGTCAGCTTGCTGGGGTTGTCCAGCACAAGACTGGGTTCCCATTGCCTCCTTTTTCTACCATCAAGAGCAGATCATTGGGCACTGCTCCAAAGCTATCGACCCCAAATGGTAACCACTGGCCTGGACCCACAGGGAAAGCTCTTGGGTCTTATTTGGTTGCTTTGCCTTTGGATTTAAAGTTTTTGTTCATTTGGTCTTTTTTTTTTTTTGGTTGCTCTTTCTTGTATTTTGTTTGAGCAAATACTGTTTCTAGGAGTTCTCTGGTGTTGTTCTTGTTTTCATTTCCTCATTCTCTCTTTCCTTCCTGTCTGTTTCAGCAGTTTCCTGAGGCTTGAGTAACCATTTTTTTGTTCTTCAGATGTTCTTCATCTTTTTTTTCATTTTTCAATTTTTAGTCTTCTCACCCTTAAATTTTATCCCCTTAGGGTAAGATTACTCTATTGAGTGGCTATTGATTGTACAATATTTTATAATTTATCGTATGTTTTGTTTATAACTATAAATCCTGTGCCTAGGGTTAAAGACAGAAAATCATTAATCATCATAGTTTGTCATTTTTCCAGCCTATGATAGATGTTATTGCTATTACTGATTGTACTACTTTAGCCAAGGTGACATAATCAGTCTTCCTTGCATGCTACTATAGTTTGTGTCTGGATGTGCCCCCAAAGCGTCATGCCATCTTGGTGAGGGGGGAGGCTTTTTAGAAGTGTCTGAATCTAAAGCTTGGGATTGCTTCATTGTCTAGAGCTGAGATTGGCAGCAGGAGTGCTGAAGTCACCCTACAGTGGGTAGCCTGAATACAACATAAGGGAGAAAAAGAGGCTGGGTCCTCCTCTTTTGCTCTTGTTGCTTTATCTGCCTTCTGCTGCCATGAGCAGTTGCCTCTCTACCATGCCACCTTGCCTTGGAGCCACATGATTATAGACTGAAACCTCTACAAAATGTAAGCTAAATAACCTTTCCCTTTAATTTGGGTATCAGGTATTTTATCCCAGCAACGAGAGAAAAGTAGCTAAGACATATGTAGGCCAATAGCTAGACTGTCTTGGGTGTCATAAACAATTCTACAGACTAGTATCATAGAACTTGGGGTTAGGCCAAGCAGCTGCAATCTTTCATCCCTAATAAACAGAAAAGGCAGAATCCTGGGACAGACTCAAAGGCCAAAAGCCAGCTACACCTAGAAGACATCTTTGAAAAGTAGTCATTTTTGCATCTTGTACAATGAATAACCACTAAGACAGCAATATGCAATGTATTAATTGTTGAAACTGTGCTAGTAGTCTGTTTTGAAACTGTCTCATTGCTATTTATTTCTCAATAAAATTATTTAAAAAAGAAAAGCAGTCATTTCTGTATGTGGTCACAATACTAGTAATAAAGCTATTTCCCATAAGCAATGTACAAGCCTCAATGCAGAAAACAAATTAAAAAATAGAAAATGGGAAAACCTGGAAGCAGGATGCAACCCAACATCCCCAACTTCCAAGGCAAATCCAGAGGGCATTGAAGTCAAAAGCCACTATTGTGGCTTGCATCTAGGTATCCCCACAAAACCTCATGCAGTGATAGATGGGTTTTTAAGAGATTCCCAGACTTAGAGTACATGGTGCTAGGATTAAGGAAGTGATGCTAGGATTGATTCATTGTCCAAAACCAGGATTAAGGGTACCTCACACTAAATGTGAATGTTATCCATTGTAAGGATGGGTAACAGGTTAATATTATCCCTTAGTTATTGTGGACTGAGCAGGCCAACAATTTCCCAAATGAGAATGGACAGTGAAGGCTTAAATAAAAGAATCAGGTGATATGATTTTAGGGCTCTAGGAGGATCAAACCCTTCTAACAGAATTCAAGATTCTCTGGGGACTAAAACAAAGAACTTCTCTGGGCAACCCATAGTTACTTGGTTTTCAAACAAAGGAGAGGGACACTAAAGAAAACACGAGAATCTGAATGGAATCTAGCAGAACACTAGGAGATATTTTTCCAAGTAGTAAATAATGTCAATAAGGACAACTACCTTATCTTTAGGTTGACACTTATTGTAGGAGTGTGGAGCCTGCAGCTGCAGTCTGGTTTTAGTTAGTTGGGATTGGAGTCAAATGTCCTCAGCTGTGGTGTTATCTTGTCCTTTGAGACATCACAGCTTCACAGGCCAATATAGGCCTCAGCAGGGACCAGTGACTCACAGAGGTTCACTTACTATGAACCCACTTCCCATCTCCAGACAAAGGGCCTTGACCTTGCTTGGATAGGGTCACAGGTAAACATAGGAAGCCAATTGGTTAATTTTACATTGTGCTCAGACCCACTTCATAGTGGTCTCCACCAGGTGGGTACCCTGGGTAGAATACAAGAGACAGAAAGAGAACTGCTATTGTCATTTGCTGCTTCTTCACTACACCACTGCTTGTTTTTTGTTTTTTGGGGGGGGGGCAAGGGTGGAACTGAGGATTGAACTCAGGCTCTTGCACTTGCCAGGGAAGTGCTTATTCCACTCAGCCATCTCCCTGGCCCTTCGCTGCTTGTCGCTTGTTGCTTGCTATTTCACTGCCTTGCTGCTTCCTTCTGAACAGCTACTCCTCTGTCAGGCCACCCTGCCTAGGAGCCAGCCAACTATGGACGGAAAGCTCTACAAACTGTGTGCCAAAATAAATCTTTCCTCATTTAAATTTGTGTGTTGAGTATTTTAACTAAGTAAAAACAACAATAACAATAACAACAACAACAACAAAATACTAAGACAGTCACCCAGCTGAAATTTCTGAAATGGTAGTAGGGGTAATAACAAAACTGGCAGTAGATCTCTTGACAAAACCAAACCAGAAATAGTTGCACAGATAATTAAAGAGATGATGGTCATGATGAAAGAAATGGTTACCAAATCTAGAGTATATACAGATAAAAAAATTAAAGGAGCTTAAGAAAGACACAGAAATCATGGACACCCCACATATGAAAAAAAAGTAGATTATATAAAACATTGAAAATATATTCAGTATACTCAACTGAGGTGAAGATGGACTATCAGATCTATAAGGCAGAGTTGTGGGTGGCAATCATCAATTAGAAATTTCTTGAAAATAGTAAGGGAGTACAAAATATCAATCCAGAAGCTGCCAGATGATGCAAAGAAGAGTACAATAAGATTAACTGGAGCCAATGAAAATTTAGAAGATAACACAAAGGACATATAAACTTGTTCATGAAATAGCAGAAAACTTTTTAAGCATAGAACAATGACTTCAGGTGTATAGAACTCCAAATAGCCGTGATCAGAAAAACACCATTCCAAGGCATATACTAGTCAAGATTCCAGAAATTCAACTCAAGAACAGAATAGTAAAAGCTGGCAGAGTCTGGGTGTGGTGGTGTACGCCCATAATCTCAGAATTGAGGAGACTGAGACAGCAGGATTGCCACAAGTTCAAGGCCAGCCTGGGCTACATAGCGAGTTTAGGGGCAGCTATAAAGTGAGATTCTGTCACAAAAAACCCAAAAAATTAAAAATTGAAAAAGCTGTTAGAGAAAATAAACAGATCTAGCACAATTTATAATAGCTAAATCTTAAAAACAATCCCAATACCCAACCAAGAGCTGTATAAAAATATGTTTTTAATATGATGGAGTACTACTCAGCCATAAAGAAGGATAAACTGGAGACTTTTATAGGTAAATGGATGCAACTTGAGAGCATACTCATAAGTAAAATAAATCAGACCCATGTGTGTAAACATCATATTATCTCACTAATTGAGAAACTGAATGAGTAAATGAGATCCCAATGTATAATAGCTATTGTGAATTAGAAAGAAACTACTCAAAAGACAATCTGTGATAAAGGGAAAAAGGAAATGAAAGGGAAAAAGGAAAAGAAAAAACTATATTTATATACAAGATACTGAAGATGGTTATAAAGCTAGATTCTTTTAGTTCATTCAAAAGAAAGGCTTGTGTTAATATTATTTGAGCAAGATATCATGCCTATATCTTGTACTCTGAATACCTACTAAGATGACAACCATAGGCAATGTATTAATTATTAATTATTGTAACTCTCCTACTAATCTATTTTAAAATTCTGTTTTATTGTTATTGTTATTCCTTCTCTTTAAAGGTAAAAAAGAAAAGGAAAGAAACAAATCCCTAGAAAGGAAAACCCTACATAATCACAGCAGACTTCTCAATACTAACTCTTAAGT